TCGGAACGCGCGATGCAAAGGCGTAGCCAGGGAACTGTTCCAAACATCTCTCCGTCATTTTTTGTCGTCCGCTGTTTGCCTCCTGGTTGAGCGTTCTGCATTGGATGGGATGGTGTCCTACTGCATGGTGCGCGAGACGAGTGTGCCCATGGGCAGCGTGGGTCCAAACGACACTTTCGACGGGGCCAACGAAGTTGTGGGCAACGGCAAAGCGCACCAGCTGGTGGACGACGCTCGCGCACCCAAACTGAAATGCGCCCACGAACAGGCGCGGGTTCTTTGCACCAGGTTCTGTCAGAGGACGAATGCAGCTGCGTTGAGGAGTAAGCAGAAAGAGGTAGAAGTTGGTGGCATTGGGCGCAAGCGAAAGGTGAGCCTTTCGGCGGCATGGGAGCGGCCTGACGTGATGGAACTTGAGCCCGCAGCAACGGATGATCAGAGCGGCGATCGTGCCGGCACGCAATGAACGTCACATCGGAACTCCAAGGAGGAATTTTGAACCTGGAAGGCTATCCAGATTCGATCGAATGGCGTTCGGCCCCGCGGGCCACCGTGTCTGGGTCGTGGGTATAAAGCCTCATGGATGTCCTGGGCCGGCACGGAAACGGAAAGAGTGTTTTTTTGGGGATTGCCCGAGATGGTTCATGGCGCTTGTCGTTCTTGGGAGCGTTGGTGTGAAGGGCCGGTTGCGTCACCGCTCGCTCTTGGGAGCCGTGGTTGTCAGAGATAGTGACGCTGCCGCTCGCTATTGGGAGCCGTGGTTGTCAGAGGTTGTGATGTCACCGTTCGCTATTGGGAGCCTTGGTGTGAAGAGTTTTTACGTTACCGATCGTTTTTTTCTTTGGCGTCTATGGGTTTTTTTAGTGTTCCTTTTCGGGGGGATTTGGGGGCAACCGATGGTTTTTTTCTTTGGCGTTTCTGGGTTCCTTTAGTGATTTTCGGCGGTTATTTGGGTTATTTGGGACCCTTTGGGGCCGTCTTGGGGCGTTTTTGGGCCGTCCCGGGGCGTCTTGGAGGCCTTGACTCGTCTTGGGGTTCCCTTGGTGGCTCCCTGGGGCCCTCCTGGGGTCCTCTTTGGGCCTCTTGGGGCCGTCTTGGGCGCCTCTTGGGCCGTCTTGGCGCCCTCTTGGGCCGTTTTGGGAAGCCTTTTTGAACCTCTTGGCCCGTCTTGGGGCGGTCTCGGGGGCATCTTGGACCGTCTTCGACGCCGTGAAGGGCGAAAAGTCGTATATGCTGAAAATGTACGTTTCCCTATGGCAAATAAATGATTTGGGCCTCGTGGGGCCCTTGGGAAGCTTCTTGGCCGCCTCTTGAGGCGTCTTGGAGGCCTCTTGAGCTCTCTTGGGGGCATCTTGGGCGTCTGGGAAGGATATTTGGGTGTTTCGGGGCCGTCGTGGACTGTTCTCTTGGAGTTTTTTTGGGGGGCCCTCAGGGGCGGGCCAGAGAAGAGCCTCCCGGGCCTTTGGGGCCGCCAGATTATATATATATATATATATATATATATATATATATATATATATATATATACATACATACATATACATATACATATACATATACACACACACACATGCGCGCATCCACCACCCGCGTGGGCACCAGGACGTCGGCTCCCAGGAAGCGGACATGGATAAATCCCCACCTCGCGCATAAACTTTTGGCGCTCCGCGCGGATGTCTTAGATTCGCGCTGGGCCCCCCAGGCGGCGCCTCCGGCGCCGCCCCCCGGCGCGCTCCGCGCGCCAAAGAGAGAAATCCAGCGCAGATGCAAGAAGTCCGCGCGGAGCGCCCAAAGTTTGCGTTTATGAAGTCGTTTCTTCTTCTATGGAGGAAAGGGTTCCATGTTGAGTTTCCGCGTCGTCGCCTTGCGTTGCGTCTTTGGGGGGCTGTTGGCTCTGCGTGTCGCCTCAGCACCGTCTGCGGCCAAGAGCTTTGGCTCAGCCGTGTCGCTCCGCGGGTGCTGGCCAACCACGCTTCGGCGCGACACCCCGTCCGCTTCCCAGTCCCCAGCCGTTCACGTCCCGAGCTTTTCCCAATTTCCCGCCCAGCGAGTCGGAGCGACACGCTGTCCGCTCTCAAGTGGCCGCCACTGCGACACGCAACGTGTCGCCGGGGCCGCCACTGCGACACGCTATGCAAAAGTTCGTGACTGCATCCCGTCCCCATCCCAACTGGCCGATGGTATCTCGGCCCCACCAGCTCACCCTCCACGAGAAGACCGTCGAACATATACTGTCGGAGTTCCGTGCGGATTTCTTGGATCGGCGCTGGGCCCCCTCTGGCGGCGCCTCTTAGTGCCGCCCCTGGTACGCCCCTGGTGCAGCCCACCATCCTGGGTGTTGACTTGGCCCCATCGAGACCCGAAGGAACAGGCATGTATCCACTCCTCGGTTGGCAAGGTGGACGGTGTGGCCAAGGAGCCGCAAGTGGGATAGCGATCGGCGAAGCGATGCTCAGTCGTCTTGCGCTGCATCTTCGGGGTGCTTCGCTTGTCCCGTGTCTGGTCGTCGCTTCTCTGGCACGCCAGGCGCGCGTCGTGCCGACGCGGCAGCGACCCCGCTGCGGGCGCTCGAGGTGGAATGCCTCCAGCGGCCGAGAAGCGGCCCGTACGGAACGATCTGGAGCCGCTGATCGTTCATCAGGAGGGGAACAAACACACAGGCACAATGAATCGTCGATCCCGGAAAATATAGGAACATCTGGGAAGTGGGGGGGTGAATTCGAGAATCCAGAACATGTGTTAAAATATTGGGAATCCTGGGATATGTGCCTATTTGTTTGTGTGTCCCTGGGCCCCTTCACTTCGAGTTTGAACAATCCACGCGGTGTCCTAAAAACCAACGCCCCGGCTCGTCACGACACGAGCCTGTCATGTCCGACCTTGGTTTCGATGCGGGCTCGACTCCTCCTCCTCCTCCTCCTCCTCCTCCTCCTCCTCCTCCACCTCCTCCCCCTCCTCCTCCTTCCCCCCCTCCTCCTCCTCCTCCCCCTCCTCCTCCTCCTCCTCTTCTTCCCCGGGGTGGGGCGGCGAAGCGAGAGAGACAGAGAGAGAGAGAGAGAGAGAGACAGCGAAGTTGTTCGCGCAGCGCGAAACGCCAACTTTGCTGCCCTCGGATAGGGGCCCCCCCGGGGCCGTCTCGGGCCTCGCGGGAGAGCATCCTGGGCAGTCTCGGGGCCATCGTGGGGCATTCTCGTGGCCCCCGTGGCCGTGGACGTCGACGTCGTCGACGCCGATCGATCAAGCGTCTTCATCGAGTTCTGTCTCTCAGTTGCGGTGCCCGGACGCCGCGTTCGGGCCCCGAGGCTATCAAACCTTGGCCCAGGCTGAGAAAATTCTTCCCAGCTGGCCCTGCCAGCCTTCCAGCGAGCCTGCTGCCCAGGTGGCCTTTCAGCATACCTTCAACAGGCCAGCGTTACAGGGACGCGCATCAGGAGATCGTATGCTTTTCGTCAGGGTGCCCAGGGTTTATTTGCTCCGCGCGCTGCGCGTTGACTTGCGCGGCCGTTAACGAGGCTGCTGCGTTCAGGGTGCTCTGGGTCCCCCCCAGGTGCGCCTCGCGCGCCGGTTTTGAGAGTTGGGTTTCTTGCCAGGGTTTCTTCCGGCCGCGGTCGCACTGCAGTCCTCTTTTTGCGAGGGCATTTTCGGGGAGGGCGTTCCTGAATTCAGGATTCTCCTGGGTAGCGGAGCAGCATTGGGGCGGTCTTGCAGCCCTCCCAGCTGCTTCCGAGCTGTCCTGGGCCAGTCTCGGGCCACTTTGGGGCCGCCTGTGGGCGGTCTTGGGGCGGTCCGTGGGTGTGGCGGTCTTCGGGCTGCCTTCTTGGGCGACGCCCTTGGGACCGCCTTGGGGCGGTCTGGGGCTCTGTCAGCAGGCCGCCGCCTCGCAGCCCCTCTTCTTAGGGGGCCTGTCAGGCCGCCTGGAGGCCGACCGGAGCGGGCCGCCCAGCGGCCGCGTCGTGGCCTTCTGGAGGGGATCTCGGGCCAGCAGCGGTGACCCTCGAGCACCGTGCAGAGGCACGAGCTGCTTCCGGATGGCGCGCTCCGCAGGGGGCCGCACCTGCGGCACACGCTCGCCTGTGACTCGGAAGGCGGCGGAAGGCTGGCGGATCGACAGAGGCAGGAAGAAGGGGGGGCGGCCGCTGGCGGCAGGCGGCGGACGCAACATTGAGACTCCGCCACAAAAATATGTACACGTACACCCTCCAATGTCGGGCCGAACGAAAGGGGGGGATGGGGAAAGGGAGGGTTACGAAATCTGCTGCATGCAGCTGGTTTCAGCCCCGCCGAGGGGCCATTCCTCGATACATTGGCCGCCTCCGGCGCCGGGAGGCACCGGGGAAATCAGCTACGTGAGCTGATTCTCAAACCCCCCCTTTGCTATCCCCCCTTTCGCCCGGCCCGACAACGGATTGTGCCTGGGCCTCAGTGGAGGTTGGCGGTGTATGAATCACCATTGGGAGCCAGCGACTTTATACACCGCCGCCCTCCCTGAAGGTACGGAAAAAGTTCGTCGGAGGGTAGGTACGGAAAAAGTTCGTCGGAGGGTGTATGTGTGTATGTATGTTCGTGGCGTCGTCAGCATTTTGGGTTCAGGTTTGCTGAAGTCGGCCACGCAGTCACACAGTCAAGACGTTGTGATGAGAAGCATTTCGGGTACGGAAGTGGCTGGCGACGACGACGACGACGACGACGACGACGGTGGCGACATCGACGGTGGCGACATCGACGGCGGCGACGACGACGACGACGAGACGACGACGGTGGCGACATGCGACGACGTTGTCTTCGTCCGTCGCCGTCGCGTCGTGGTCGTCGTCGTCTCGACCATGGCCGCCTACCGTCGTTGCCGGTAGTGCACTCGTTGACTTCCGGGCCAGGCCCTGCTCGAGGGTCCGGCCGTCGCGAGCGCCGGGCCGCCAGCCCTCCGGCCGCCGCGCCGGCGCCTCGGCGGCGCCGCGCCGGGCCGCTCCCCGCGCGGCCGCCGCGGCGCACGCGTTGCCCGCAGACGCCGCAGCCGAGGTGCGCTGCGGCGCTCTTGGCGCGCGGCTGCGCGCCCCCCGCCGCATGTAGGTATCCGCAGAAGGTGCCGATCCACTACCACCATGCCTCACCGAGCGCGTTCCGCTACTCGCAGAGTGCCTACTCGCAAAGTCCCGAAAAAACACATGTCTGCTTCGATGTAATGTATCGCTGATCCCCCGCTGCGGATCCAGGCCGTTTGCGAGTAGCTACTTTGCGAGCAGTGGAGCCCGCCTGTCTAGTGCCATAATTTTTGTTACCCCCCCCAGCAAACAAATACCAACAACGGATCCAACACCACCATGCATGCCAACATTTGTAATACGAACAAAACAGACAACAAAAACAAGCACGAGAAGTACCCCCCCCCAAAAAAAACATTAGCCTGACGAAAGACCCAACCATACGTAGTTGTGAATACCGCAATTGTGGATATATTCCTCGGTGGCGCTCCCTATGGGGCCACGAACCGCATGAAGGGCGTGCCGAAATTGGGGGTGGAACCGCATGCGAGCGCAGTCACTGGGGCGTTCGGTGGAGCTCCCTATGGGGCCACGAAACGTGTGAGGGGTGTGCCAGAATGAGGGGTGGAACCGCATGCGAGCGCAGCCACTGGGGCCTTCGGTGGAGCTCCCTATGGGGCCACGAAACGTGTGAGGGGTATGCCAGAATTGGGGGTGGAACCGCATGCGAGCGCAGCCACTGGGGCCTTCGGTGGAGCTCCCTATGGGGCCACGAAACGTATGAGGGGTGTGCCGAAATGGGGGGTGGAACCGCATGCGAGCGCAGCCACTGGGGCGTTCGGTGGAGCTCCCTGTGGGGCCACGAAACGTGTGAGGGGTGTGCCGAAAAGAGGGGTGGAACCGCATGCGAGCGCAGACGCTGGGGCCTTCGGTGGAGCTCTCTATGGGGCCACGAAACGAGTGAGGGGTGTGCCGAAATGGGGGGGTGGAACCGCATGCGAGCGCAGCCACTGGGGCGCTCGGAGGAGCTCCCTATGGAGCCACGAAACGTGTGAGGGGTGTGCCAGAATGGGGGGTGGAACCGCATGCGGGCGCAGCCACTGGGGCCTTCGGTGGAGCTCCCTATGGGGCCACGAAACGTGTGATGGGTGTGCCAGAATGAGGGGGTGGAACCGCATGCGGGCGCAGCCACTGGGGCCTTCGGTGGAGCTCCCTATGGGG